TTTTATATACTACATTTAAAAAAATCCATTTATCCATTGAAGAACATTTTAAAAGTTATTTCCAAATCTTGGCTATGTAATGCTGCAGTGAACATGGGAGTGAAGATGATCTTCAACATCTGATTTCAATTCCTTTGAATATATACCCAGAAGTGAAATTGTCAAATCACATAGTAATTCTATTTTTAGTTTTTTGAGGAAACTTCATACTGGTTTTCAAAGTGGCTGTACTAATCTACACCACCACCAATAGCATACAAATGTTCCCTTTTCCCCACATTCTTGCCACCATTTTTATCTTTCATCCTTTTGATAATAGCCAATCTAACAGGTATGAAGTGACATATCATTGTGGTTTTAATTTACATTTATCTGATGATTAGAAACATTGAGCATTTTTTCATATATCTGATGGTGATTTGATGTCTTCTTTTGAAAAATATCTATTCAGGTCCTTTGCCCATTTTTAAAATAAGGTTATTTCTTTTCTTATAATGCAGAGTCCCTTGTATATTTTGGATATTGGCCCCTTATCCAATATATGATTTACAAATATTTTCTCCCAATCTGCAGGTTGTCTCTTCACTCTGTTAACTGTTTCTTCTGCTGTGCAGAAGCTTTTAGTCTGATGCATTCCCATTTGTCTATTTTTACTTTGGTTGCCTATCCTTTTGGGGTTTTATCCAAGAAATCACTGACCAGACCAATGTCATGCAGTTTTCCCCCATGTTTTCTTCCAGTTTTACAATTTCAGGTCTTATGTTTAAGTCTTTAATCTATTTTCGGATGATTCTTGTATAAGGGTGAGATAAGGGTCTATCTCCATTCTTCTGCATGTGGATATCCAGTTTTCCCATCATCACTTTATAAAGAGGCTGTCCTTTCCGCATCGTGTGTTCTTGGCAACTTTGTCAAAAAAATCAATTGGTCATAATTGTGTCCGTTTATTTCTGGGCCTCTATCCTATTTCATTGGATAATGCGGCTGTTTTTGTTGATTACTATAGCTTTGTAACATATTTTGAAATCTGGTAGTGTGGTGCTTCCAGCTTTGTTCTTTTTGTTGGAGAAGCTTTTAGCTATTCAGGGTCTTTCATGGTTCCATACAAATTTTAGGACTGTTTTTTTTTTTTTTCTATTTCTGTGAAGAATGACATTTGGATTTGACCAGTATGAAGTTTCCTCAAAAAACTAAAAATAGAATTACCATGTGATTCAGCAATTTCACTTCTGGGTATGTATTCAAAAGAATTGAAATCAGATGTTGAAAAGATATCTCCACTCCCATGTTCACTGTAGCATTATGTAGCCAAGATTTGGAAATAACTTTTAAAATGTTCGTCAATGGATAAATGGATTTTTTAAAGTGTGGTATATAAAAACAGTGGAATACTATTCAGCCTTAAAAGTGTAGGAAATTCTGTCACATGTGACAATTCCATTTATTTCTTTCATCTTCAATTTCTTCCATCAATGTTTCAGTATACAGTTCTTTCACCTTTTAAGTTTCCTGTTTTGTGAAATGCTATTGTAAATGGGACTGTTCTCTTAATTATTTTCAGATATATATAGTTAGTGTATAGATAATGCTACTGATTTTTGTATGTTGACTTTGTACCTACAAAACTACAATTTTACTGAACTCCTTTATTGGTTGTAACAGCTTTTTGGTGGAGTTTTTAGGATTTTCTGTATATAAGATCACATTATCGGCAAAAAGAGACAATTTCATTTCTTCCTTTCCTATTTGGATGCCTTTTATCTCTTTTTCCTACCTAACTGCTCTGGCTAGCACTTCTAGTACTATTGAACAGAAGTAATAAGAGTTGGCATCTCTGTCTTGTTCCTGATCTTACAGGAAAAGATCAGGAACTTTCAACTTTTTACCAATAAGTATGATGTTAGCTGTGAGCTTGTCATATATGAACTTTCTTGTGCTGAAGAACATTCCTGCTATACATAATTTCTTTATAGAGTTTTTTATCATGAAAGGATGTAGAATTTTATCAAATGCTTTTTCTGTACCTATGGAGATGATGATACAGTTTTTGCCCATAAGCCTAATTTTAAAGTATATAGAAAACGAACAGGAAGCTCAGAGCATCATGGGCATGAAAATAACAAAAAATTCCTTTCCTATAACTCTTAAGAATAAATGAACACATTTATTTTACAAATATCCATCTTAAAGGACACCTTCACATTATAACTAATATTTCAGAGTTTTTATAGTTAAAAGCTCATCTGATAAAAATCCTTATTATACAAATAACAATCTAAAGATTAAAACAGTTAATTATTACAGAGGTAAATTAAGAGCAATTCTTCTAACTACTTAGACAGTAATCACTTATACAATGGAAACTTAAATTTTGTCCCTTCCTTTATTCATTCATTCTGCTTACCGCTTAACTACCCCCAAGACAATAGGAATTAGCCAAATATTTCTGCTATAAATCTACTCATACTTTACAGAACAAGGGAAAGCCTTGAATCTTCTTGCCAGATCTAATCTAAATTTGTTTTGCTTACCTTAGTAAACAATGTAAAACATCGAAAATTTTATGGCAAACTGATCTAAAATTAATGTCAAATCAACTTTAATCCTCTGTGTTGTTGTTGCTTTTAATACTGTCAAATCAGTAAAAAGCAAAAAAAGAAAAAAAAAGAGGGGGAAACCTTATTACGAAGTTGTGTGAATATGCCATTTGCAAAGACAACATTTTTTTAAATGAAATCAAAATTTGACTAACTTGTCAAGTTTATTCTAAACAAACTGAAGTATTAAGAAATCATAGAAAGTTATATTTCATATAACATTTTCCCTCTAATTATTACAAACATCAATATTAAAAATGGTAAAAAAAAAAAGTTTCTGCATATATTCTAAAACTTTTTATTTCAGGCTTTGTTCCCTAAGTTATTTAATATTTAAAGTGCCATGATAATTAGGCTTTGATTCCAATTATAAGAACTAATATAAGATTTTGATTTGCTATTTACTTTCTTTTTTGAGATATATTCACAACTGAATACCTACTACATTCTAGTTTCTGTAGTAAGCCCTAAAAATAGATGAAAATGTCCCTCCCCTAGAGAAGAACACAGTTTAGTAAGTGATATTAATATAAAAATGTACAGAAATAAATTATGATACAACATAATACAATAATGAATGGACAAAGTAGCATAGAGAAAATAAGCAGAGAAAGTCAGGGAAGGTTTCATGATGATACCCAAATTAGTTTTTGAGGGAAATCAGGAACTTGACAGTAGGATTTAAAGGTGGCCATTTCTTTATATGAAACTCTAGGAAAGACAAATTTAATCTAATGTGATAGAAGGTAGACCAGTGTGGTTTCCTAAGGCCAGTGATAGGGACTGGGGATTGAATGGGAATGCAATCTGTATCGATTATGATGGGTGTATACATACATTTGTTAAAATCATCAAATCACACACTTAAAACATACATACTTTATCATATACAATTTATACTTCAATAAATTTAATTTTTAAAAGAGGATTGGGGAAACCAATGGACTATTCTTTGGCTAAAACTCTTCCATATTGCAATGAATCACAAGGTAGTTATCTGTGTTCTATGACGAGGAAAATGTTTTCTCTAAATAAACAAGAGTTTAAAGCTCCAGTGCTGTTTCTTGTTTTAGACTCTCCTAAAGATGTAATGGGCAAAAAATGTAGTGCTCGGCAGAGTTCCAATAGAACAAGCCATTTCTAAGTTTATATGATACTGCTAAAAACAGCATTTTCATAATACATATTTCCATTTATAATATAATTATTGAATGTGAGGGTAAGAAAATACTAGATGAGGAGCTGAAGAGTTCTTTTCAATTAGCTTGATGATTCTGAGCACATTAGTTCACATCTTTGGGATTATTTCAGTTCTAAACTTAGAAGGCTGGTTTCCTTTGATTTATTTCATTTTAAAGATTTAACTATTCTTACATAGTTGAAATCTCGAATCTCTTTGAGATCCTCCAAATAAAACCCCTAAATTCTAAATGTTGAAAGTGATGCATGAAAACAAGTCTTGTCAAGTAAACTGAATATCAGAAGTATTTTCTGCAACTTTTGAGATTGTTAATTTGAGGTTCTTAGTCGAATTTATGTATTTCCCTAATCAAAATTAATTTTACATACACTGATCATTTTTTATTAGCTAACCACACAGGTTTTTCTAACTATTCTACGGTGCTAGGTGTATTATTTCATATATACATCACTCTTTTTCTTTGCATATAAAAAACTGAAGGTTATAGATATTAAATAACTTGTTCAAGACATCATCTTTGCAAGGACAAAACTATCAGATCAAATGTGTCTTATAAAAAGTTATAGAAAGAATACACACACGCACATATATTGTTAGATATCAGCACAAATATGAAACTTTTTTTCTGTAAGGATATACAACAAAAAGTAATGTTACCTTTTTGGGAGAAGGTCTAAGGTAGAAAGAAGTACTTTTGGTATTTTTACTTTTGGCTTTTTCAGTATTTCTTTCTTTTTCAACCAATATGCCTAGTAGTATAGTTGTTAATTCAGTTGCTTGGAGCACAAAGAACAAAGGTCACAGGTTTGATGAATTACATTTGCAAAGAATAAAAATATCCCTTGTTCACAGAATGTATTTTTAACTTTAAAAAGTCATCTGGCAAACTTGTGCTGATCACAAGGGTGAATCAGGTAAAAGCATGTGGCTGACTGAATACATTAGTACTGGAAAAGAATTCTAAGTAATGTCCTACTGACAGAGGGTAAAAGAGTTAGTCATCTCTAAGTAAACACTTCAATTTTCATACCCATCAACTCACTGCCCTTCTGAATAGAATATAAATAAAACCTTAACCATGAGAAAATAGTCTCTGTACTTTTAGAAAAGCTGAAATCTATACTTGTCCCCAAACCTACAATTTTCTAAAATAATACATTTCTGATTAGTATACCATATAAACATCAAATAAAGTACTGTACCTGTAACATCTTCTGGATCTGATACAACAATATGTGCATTTAATTCCTGTAGCTTGTGATGTAGTTCTTCTAATTTTTTATTTGATTTTTTCAAAATGTTGTCCACATAAGCCAAATTTTTTTTATCTGTTGTAACTTTCCTTAGATTTTCAGCTCCTTCTTTGATTTTCAGTTCTTTCCTTATTTCTCTTTTGATTCGATCTTTGATATCATCCAATTTCTGTTGAACCATGGTATCTGAAAAGTCTAAATTTTCAACAGCACTCACATTCTCAGAAAATGGAAGACTTCGGGTATCCCCCTACAGATAAAAACAAACATAAGTATGAGAATTTAGGAAAGTTGGCTGTTTGGTAAATATGCAGTGTTTTCAGCATAAAAGATTCTTTATTAATTACATTTAATTTTTCTCCTTAACAATAGGGTTATCTACCTTTATTATAACCAGACAAAATCATAAGTTCAAAAACATTGCCCATTAAGTAGGATTACTTTACAAATACAAATTTTATGTTAAAATAAAGTGGACATAACACTTCTCCACACAAAGGTTGTATAGACAGTCAATTTTGATATCCTAGGAACCCAGGTTAGATCCCAACCCCTACAGTGTGAACCCTGGGCAATTTATTTAACTTTTCAAATACTCAGTGTAACTGTCTATACAATCTAAATAATAGTAGTCACCTTTAAAAGATAGTGTGATAATTCAAAATATGGTAAGTGAGGCTCCAAAGATAATTCTTGACACCCACTGTAGTCAATAAATGAAAAGCATTATTAAATTCTATAGGTAAGTTCATCTTCTATAAGAAACCTCTTAAAAATCAATATTAACAAAATAAAATAAAGTAATACCCTATGTCCACTGTTTAATTAATGAATTAAATGTATTAGGGCTAGGGTAGACTATATTCACAACACCATTTACAAAGCTATCCCTCTGTGGATACCAAAATCAGCAGATGCTCAATCCCTTATATAAAATGATACAGTATTTGCATATAACCTATGCACATATTCCCCATATTTTAAATCATCTCTAGATTACTAATAATACCTAATATAATATAAATGCTATGTAAATAGTTTTTATGCTGTATTATTTTATTTGTATTACTTTTATTGTTATATTGTTATTTTTATTGCTTTTCGCCCCCTAAATTTTCAATCTGCAGTTGGTTGGATCCACAGATGTGAACACACAGATGAGGGTCAACTGCATATTTCATGGCTAACTACCTCAACTGATAATTTGGTTGACTTACTACAAAAACATCATTACTAGAAAATATCTTTAAATTATGTCCTACTGAGGGAACCTAAGATAATACACAGTACAGTTATTCATCTTAAAATGAAAATCAAATCAGTTAAGCTCATCTAATCTACATTTACAAGATGCAAAGTTAGGTTCTAGTTATTTGTATATCATTCACTACTGCAAAGTTCACTACTATAATACCATAGGTTTTAAAATTTTTAAATTCTCAGATAATGGTTACCTCTGGGAAGGGGAATTGAGTTTATGAAGGACAAGGAAAAGAGAAAAACACTGTACAGCCTTCATGCACCTTTGAAACACAGACCTAATTAAAAGATTTTTTTTAAATTTTGGGGGGGATTCACCACACCCATATATATAAGTTCTATTTAAATTCTTGGTGCAAATACTTTTTACAACTAATTCTTAATCTCTAAAAATTATGTATTATGCAAAACAGTGGAAAAGGTAAGCAAATGAGAGATATAGGGTCTAGCCTTGGCTTTCATACCAATTTAACCTATACTCATAGGCATAGTAACAGAAAAAATTAAAATAGGTGATTTTTATAAATCTGTTTCTAATCGTTTTAGGACTAAGAACCCTATTGAAATTCCAACAAAAAACAGTAGATCAAAGAAAATTTAATGTTTGTATGTATAATTTCTAGGTTCCTTGAATCCTAGGTTAAGAATTCCTAGGATAGGTAATCTATACCTGTTAGCTTTATATTTCTGATTTTTACTATGCAGATATAAGATGATCTACCTGGGCCAAAATATTGCCTAGATTTTTCAATATTTATAATGGAATATAACGGAATGTAAACTAAATAGAGTCCATTTAGTTTCCTAAGTTTATGAGTCTACCTTTGGCTGGTTATCTAAAACCAGCCATAGCACATATTGTCGAAGGATAAAATCTCAAATTCCTCCTATCTAGCTTCAGGTAAAGTGGACTAAGGCAAATAATACTTAGATTGAAAAAGAAAAAAGTTTAAGCTAATTCTATTCCTCTAGATATTTTTATTTCAATTCTCATAAATTTATCAGAAAATATCACATGAATTGCTTTCACAAATTTGTGCTTGAAAATTATGTACTAAGCCAGATGTCCCCAAAACTTCTTGGTTCATTGTACCCTAATACCTCAGTAATTTTTTCCCTTATTCCCCATAGATCAAAAGAAATACCTAACACTTCTATTTATTAAGTAGTAAGGTTCAAATAAATTAATAAATACTTCTGTTTTAACAACTTAGTTGTTTGAAATAATACACATAAATTGGACAAAATAATATTTTAATTTCATTCTTTAATAACTATACTTATTAATGGAATGTTCCTGCCTGTCAGGTACTTTGTAATTTTTCAAACCCGGAAATCAGAAGAGACACTCCCACCCTTGTTTCCTGTTCTAACTTGCAAAGGGAAATGTAGAATAATCTAATATTAAAATATTTTATATAATTTACTCCAGCTAGTTCAAATGGTATCTAACAAATGAAGGGTATCAATGTGTTTCCCTCACGATTTTAAACTATGCTACAGCATCCTGAGGGTTTGCTGAGGAACCCGAGAGTCTTGTTGCTCAGTTTGAAAATCATGACACTAAGCTTTAAGGATATTAAAATAAACTGTCATATAAAAATGGCTTCTATATTTGACGTGAATCCTTTGAAGGCTCTTGCCTACTTCAATTCCAATTTCTTTCCAATTTGCTCCCTAAATTCCATTCATATCAAGTTATAAAAATGTACTGCAAAATGCCATTTCTCTTGGCTCAGCCACTATGCATGCTGTACCTTGTGAAGCACCCCCTCTCCTTCCTTAACTATCTCTTCCAATTCCCCTTTTGGCCTAGGTACATTTTACTTTGTTTCAAAGTTCACCACTACTCTTCTGGGGAAAGAATTTTCTGTCCAACGCCCTTGGTTAGAACCTTATTTATACAATTATCCCTTTTCTTATTGCTCACTCCAAAGACAGCAATTTGAGGGTAGGGTTTATGTTTGGCAGAGCTTTTCTTTCCTTAATGACTTGTCCATTACATTATTTAATATTTTTCTTATAGAACTAAGGAAAACTTGTCACTGCTGAAGGCTTCATGCTTTCTTCTTTCTGATAAAGAGAACTTGGAGGAGAAAGAACAGAGCAAAATGGCAGAATAGGATTTTCCAGCCATAGTCTCCCCACAGAAATGTTAAACTTGAACTATCCATGTGTGACAGTCCCTTCACAAGAGCTAAGGAAACCAGATTAGAGATCATAGTACCTGGTCTTAGCCCCAACAAAGTCTTATTGCCTGCATCATCCCTCCCCCAACTCACAAAGAGAAACTCTGTCGGGGGAAGGAAAAGGACGTGAATGCAGGACTTTGAATTACAGCCCAGGGCTGGACCTACCCAGTGCCAGGCAGAACTTCTTGCCCCTTAACCCCAGACTAGGGTACACAGATGAAGCCTTTGGCACTAGGTGGAAAACTGCAGCCTCGGTGGGACAGACTGGTGTTCTAGCAGTCTATAGTAGCCTCATGCCATGAGTGACCTTCAGCAGCAGACAAGTCATAGTGGCATACGCCTGGAGAGTGTTCCAGGGATGCAGTGGTCCTGGCAGCCAAGAGGCTGATCCTACCATCCTTCCTTCATCCGTGGGCAGTTGAGCTCAGAGAGTGACTCCATCTACTGAGAGAAGGAGAGGTATGTAAACAGCAGGACTTTTTGCCTTGGAACTCAGTGGGAGGCCTGCTATGGTAAAATCCAACACCCAATGGCCCCTCACCGCAAGCTGGCGGCCATGAACAGTAGTTGTGGGCCTGCTTCGGTGCCAGACAGACATGCAGCTTCAGTGAGATGGACTGGTGTTCAGACCTGCATCACCACTGGCTGTCTACAGTGGCCCTGAACCACAAATTACCTTCAGCAGCCGGCAGGCCATATCGGCATAGGCCATGGGAATACCCTTGTGCTTTGCTGGTTTTGACAACTGTGAACTTTGGGTTTGCTCAGCATTACAGTGGCCGCAGTGGCCACAAGGCTGTTGGCTCCTTCCATTCCTCTAATACCAGGCAGCACAGTACAAAGAGAGACACTGTCTGCTTGAAAAAAGGAGAGAGCAATGGGCACATGATATTGCCTTGGAGCCCAGTGACTGCCTACCATGGTGAGGTCCAGCACTGGGCAGAGACCCACAATATGTGACCTGCCTTAGCCCCAGGCAGAAACTCACAGACTACCCTCTTTAGGCCCTATCAAAGTCCATTCAGGCCAGAACACACCAACTGCAAAGTCACTGCAAACTGAGGCTTAGGGTGCCATCTAGTGCTGAAATAGCAGCATAGACCACAGGCTCAGAAAATATAACAATAAAAAAACATAATAATCTGCTTAGAATCTCTGGAAGGATGGACACAAAAACAGACTGCTAAAACTGGAATAAATACATAAGCCTTCGATGTGCAGATGTTATGGCATGCCCACAAGCATCAAGAAAATTCAGGGAATCTCTCACAGAATTTAAAGAAACTATTTTAAGCAAATCTATGAACTTCAAGAAACACAAAAAAGGTAGTAATTTATCAGAGAAACTTAACAGAGATTAAAATTTTGAAAAATCCAACAGAAATCCTGGAGCTAAAAAATATAATGAACAAATGAAAAATACAATAGAGACTATCAACAGCAGAATTAATCAAACAGAAAGAAAATACAGTCAGGAGAAATAAGAAAAAAGAAAGAAAAGGAATGATGAAAGTTTACAGAACTATAAGATGCATCAAAAGAGCAAATATTTGGGTTACTGGTGTTCAAGAGGGACTTAAGAATATCAAAGGGTATAGTTTATTCCAAGAGATAACAGAAAGTGTCCCAAACCTAGAAAAAGATATAAATGTTCCAGTATAGGAAGGTCAAAAGTTACTAATAAGGTTCAATCCAAATAAGTCTACCCCAAGACATATTATAATCAAGCTCTAAAAGGTCAAAGACAAAGAGAGGATTTTGAAAGCAACATGAGAAAAGTAATAACATATAAGAAAGT